TGTAGAAAGATTTTTACTGACGGTGTATTTCGGGACCATCTGGAAGTTGAAGATCCGACAGTTCTTTCTGTTTTTACAGCTTCTATCTGGTAAATTCTGGCATTTCAGTGACTTTCTTGACAGAGAACCTGCCTTTCAAAGCTGCTGCCAGGTGGTGTGGTTCAGTGGCTGTATTTCCTGTGAGCACTGTAGTTCCATCTACAGCAGAAGTGTGTGGACATATTCAGATGTGCGCCGTTCGTCGCTGTGTTTGTTTGTGTGTCGGCAGGTAAACGTACGTCAGCTGAGCTGGATGTTTGTCTGGAGAAGCAGTTGGAGCGTTTTGAGTGGCAGCTGAGGATTTTAAAGGAGGCCAATGGAAACCCAGAGAGGGCTGAGCTGCTGAAAGACCACGCCAACGAGGAGGTGTGCGCCCTCGTCCTGAGCATCCTGGACAAGGTGAGGAGGTTCACTGATGGCTCCAGTTGAGATCATTCTGTCCTCCGCCCTTTATCTACAATAACTTGTTCAGAGAAGAATAGTCAACCAATCAGCTGACTCTTTATTTAACTTTATCTACTGACCAGAGTTCTACCTTCAGACTGTGAATATTCCAGAGGTCCAGGTCCTTGAAGTCCACAGAGGAGGGTCCAGATTGATCACTTTAATGGACTTTTTCCATCATTTCTGAGCCTCAGAACTTCATCAGTGCAGCAGATAGACACATGACATTTAGGATGATGCTGAGGAGAACTTTTGTCAGATTTGGTTGGTTTTATCATGAACCAGCTGAAGTCGTAACGATGCAGCAGAGTAGAGACTGAACCCTCCTGAACCTCCTGGCTGCTCCTCTCCTCCCTCACCTGGGTCTGCAGCCTGCGGTTTGTTTTCGTCTGATTTATGTCGGCAGCCATTTCGAGGCGTCCTCGCCGTGACCCTGCTCCGTCTGCAGAGCTGCTGTAATCGAACCCGGCAGGTTTTTCCACCTTATTTAAAATTTAAATTCGTCTTTCTGTTGTGACGTTCAGGTGAGAACCGAGACGACGGCGGATCTGAACGTCCTGCACGAACAGAAAAGTAAATCTGCGACCGAGGAACATGAGAGACACGTGGAAGGTAAAAGCAATGTGCAGTTTGTTTTTCAGTCGTGATCATGAAATAAAAGAACAAAACTCCAGCTCAGACTGTTTAAAGCTCTCTGCTGTCAGATTTGATCTTTTAGTTTGTCGTTTTGCAGGTATTTGTGTTTGTCTCTTTTTAACTGGTTCCATCTCTGTCGGGCCTTCTTTGTGTGTCTTGAGGTGGATTTCTGTCCTTTCAAAGTTTACTTTTGGTCATTTTGCAGGGACTTTGTTTATTTTGGTCATTGTTTAGGGTCTGTTTTTGGTCATTGTGCATCGTTTTGAGCATCTTTGCAGCGGTTTTGCATCTTAGTTGAGTCGTTTTGTGTATCTTAACAACCATTTTGCAGGTTTTTGTGCCCGTGCACAAGCACACCGGTCAGTTAGGCTGAAATCCAGCGATATGTAGTGTTCTAACAACACACTAGTTATTATAACAACTATGAACAATGATTAACAACTAATGAGCCTTCCAGCATCAAGCCGTCCTCGTATCTGGACCTCCGTCTTGACAATCCGACAGCCTTGCTATCCAACATAGAAGAAGGTTTTACATTTAGTGTCAGATTATCGAGTCACGACTGTAGTTGTATTTATTCTGAGTTCCTTGTTTTGTGCTTCTTTTTAACCATGTTGTGATATTTTAGGCCTCGTTTATAGTCATGTTTCATCCAGTTGTGTTCATATTGTCTCTTTATAGCTGCTGATGTTGTGTTTTGATCATTCTGAAGTGGTTTTGCATCTTTGTGTTCATTTTGCATGTGTTTGTGCCTTGTGTGGCGTTTTGTGTCTCTTCTATACAACAGCATCCCTTTGCAGTTGTTTTGCGCCTCACAGCGTTGCTTTAATGCCTGTTCTACAGCTGCTTTTTGTCCTTTTGTGTTCATTTTCTCTGTTTTCAATCGGCGCTGTAGCTATTTAGGCATCTTGCACCATTTTCGAGAGACAAAACAAAGTGCGGCAGCGAATCTCCTCCTTCTTGAGACAGAAATGTGTTTTTGTCTCTCTGGAGGATCTGAGAGCATCTTGAAATCTGGTGTACATCATAAATAAGTCAAAGACTGTGTCAAAATTCATTAGTTTATCTGTTTTAAACTGAAACCGGATCCTGTCTGGTGTTATCTTCCCTGCAGGGCTGCAGGTGAAACACAAACAGGAGAAAACTGAACTGACAGAAAAGTTCCAGGCGGCTGAAAACATCCTGCAGGTAAACATGTGGAGGAGGAAACGGCAGCGAGCAGCTACAGACCAGGATCAATCTGCCTGGTTGTCTGATAGTAAAGTTACTAACAGCCTCTGAAGACTGAAGTCCAGCTGAATGTGTATAAACGTCTGTATTTAGCAAAGTTAAAGTTCTGTTTCATTTGATTCACTGGAACACACATGTTCACATAAACCCTACTGTCATGTATGAGCTGAATTCAGCATCGTTTTAGTTGTTGTTTAAAGTAAATGTGATGTAATAATCAGTAAGTGTATTTTATTTCCTCCCTGCTGTGTTCTTTTGTTGTTTTTTTTAGCTGTCAGAATATCTGTAGGAGTCTTAATGTCCACTGACGCCACCTACAGGACAGAAGAGAAACGGCACAGATGGTCGGTTATAAGTGAGTTTTTGTGTTTCTGCTGTGACTTCAGGGTAAAGTAGCGACGCTGTCTGCAGAGCTGCAGGTTTACAACGAGCTGAAGAGGAGAGTCGAAGAATCCACCTTTAAGAAGGACCTGCAGAGGAACATCCAGGTGTGTTCGAAGCCCAGTTTCTGCACGTTGATCTGTTCCTGCTGTGAGTTACATTCATGTAAACAGCCTGTGTGATCTGCAGGCCCACGGCAGCCCCGGGGCATTCTGGGAATCTGAGCAGGAGTCGCTGCTGTTTGTCATAGAAATGAAGACTGAGCGTGTGCAGGAGCAGAACAGGAAGCTGCAGCAGATGGATGAGCTGGTAAGTTTCAGAAATGTCATCTACCGAGATTTGAAGAGACATTTACAGAGATTTATAAGAACTTCTACAGGTTTGCTACCCGCTGGAGCTAAAGACAGCAGCTTTCTGTCTCTTTGTGGTCATGTCGTCTCTTTTTAGTTTTTTTTTTTTTTTTTTTTAATCGTTTTCAGGAGTCGTGCATCTTTCTAAGCCTCTTTCTGAAGCTTTCTGAAGCAATTCTTTACATTGGTTTTGCATTTCTTTGTTATTTTATGTGTCTTAAGTCATTTTGCACCAGTTTGTTATTTTAGTGTTTCTTTGTGGCTCTTGGAGGTGATTTTGTGTCTATTTATGGTCGTTTTGTGTGTTTGTAGTTATTTGCTGTGGTTGTTTTTTGCCTGTTGGTTGTTTTGTGTCCCGTTGTGGTGATTTTTGTGTTCATGGCTGTTGTGTGTCTCTTTGTGGTTGTTGTCTCCCTTGAGGCTGCTTTCTATCTTTTCATAGTCGTTTTTCAGTCACCAGCCCCTGGTGGCGTCTCCACGGCAAATTGGTTCTAGGGGAGGGACCAGACAAAAAGCGACTCAGAGACCTGAGTGACAAAGTTAAAGAGGAAAGCCACCACCAGAACAGGGAGACCGGGGCCCCCTGCTGGAGCCAGGCCTGGGGGGGAGCTCGCAGGAGAGCGTCTGGTGGCCGAGCCTTGGGGCCCCGGTCAGCTCGGTTGGGCACAGCCCAAAGAAGCACCACGGGACCACTGCCCAGAGGGCCCACCACCCTCAGGGCAGAGGATCGGGGTTCGGGGTGCTATGCCCACTGGGTGGTAGGCAGGAGTGGGCATCCTGGCGTAGTGCCCCCCGGTGGTGTAGACCAGCTCTGGGGACGTTTAACGTCACCTCACTGATGGGGAAGGAGCCTGAGCTGGTGCGGGAGGTGGAGCGCTAGCGGCTCACCTCCACGCACAGCAAGGGCTCCGGAACCAAACTCCTGGAGAGGGGCTACCGTTGGACTCTCTCCTTTTCCAGAGTTGCCCACGGTGAGAGGCGCCGGGCGGGTGTGAGCCGCCTTGTTAGAGTTCTCCCCGGAGAGCGAGCAGGGAAACTCTGACTGTCTGAGCTTCTGCACCAAACAGCAGCTCAGACCAACCAGCCTTCTTGGAGTCTCTCTGGAGGTTTTCTGAACACATCCACCTGGGAGGAGACCCCGGGGCAGACCCAGAACCCGCTGGAGGGATTATATTTCCCGGCTGGCCTGGGAACGCCTCGGGATCCCCCAGGAAGAGCTGGAAAGCGTCGCTGGGGGGAGGGAGGTCTGGAATATCCGACCCCGGATAAGCGGAGAAAGATGGACGGATGGATTTGTGGTTGTTTTGTATGTTTTCAGTCACTTTGTGTCTGTTTATGTTTGTTTAGTGTCTCTTTGTGGGTATTTCTTGGTTGTGGTTGTTTTGTGTCTGTCCATGTTAGTTTTTTGGCTCTTGGTGGTGATTTTGTGTCTATTTATGGTTAAATTCTGTCTGTGGTTGTTTAGTATGATCCTCCTTATGTCAGGCTGTGGTCAGTAATCCAGACACGGTCCAGGTCATAACAACTGATTAATCCCACGACCAGAGATAACATGAGATGCAGCTGAGAGGCACTGAACTGGATTCAACAGGCAGTAAATTAATGTAGCTGATGCAGCATTTCAGGCCTTATTGATCTTCAGCAGGTTTGGTTGTTTTGAGTCGTCTGTGGTTAAATGTGGTGAATCGGCTGATCCTTTATCTGTCATATGCAGTATTTACGTTTCCTTGTTGTCTCAATCTGCAGAGCACGTCGTTCTTTCACACAGAATTGTTTCTTCGTCTTATTCTTCCTCTTAACTCTCGGTTCTCAGGTAGAGAAGAACTTGTCTTTGGAGGACCAGATCATTCACACTCTGCAGCAGAACGAGGACCTCAGGGTCCGAATAGACAACTGCCAGACTCTCATTCAGTAAGTGCCCCGCCACCTACTGACTGCTGCCACCTGCTGGACACAACGCTCCTCTTCACACCATCCCCATCTTCTGTTTTCCAGGCAGTTATCGAAGGAGCAGCAGGATCTGAAGGTGGCGCTGGAGAGGCAGACAGCAGTCAACCAGACGCTTTCTCAGGAAAAAGAGCAGCTGATGTTCAAACTGAGGCACAGGGACTCGTGTCCGACCATCCACCTGCCCGCCATGATGCAGGAGATCGCACCCAGATGACTCGGATAGCAACCATTCACCGGTTCGCAGCCGGCCGGGTTTACAGAACCAGATCTATTGAGCATCGGAGGGTGGAAACAAGACTGAATAGTTGTATTTAGCAGCATCTGTTCTTATTGTTGCGGTCGAGCAGGTTTGTGAGATTCTTCCTGTTTCACTACAATCACTGGTAGCTTTGACCTTTCACAGCGTTGTGGTCAAACTAGACAAATGTGCTCTTCTATTTAGATTTTTAAAATCTTTTTCTATGAAGGTGTGTCCTTGTCCTGACATGTTGTTGTGAAAATGTCCCTCACAGGCCACCGTCGCAGCACCAAAAATCCTCAGTCAGTCCGTAAAGTTCCAGCCTGACTAGCGAGCTGCTTTAGCCGATGAGCGTAACAGATAAGAGTTAGCTCCCCGCTAACAAACCACAGGACTGAATGCTTCCGTGTTGCGTCAGTAGCGTGCTGTCAGCTGTTATCACACAGGATTCAGAACTATTTCTAGTGAGCAAACTAGCCAGCTTGGTTGCTACGAGAACAAATTCATGAATACTTTTAACCCGTTTTTAATGACAAGTTTAGCTGTTGGTACTTCAGCAGTGGTTTTGTATTTACAGAACTTGGTCTGACTCACCAGATTTAAATTGTGGGTGTGAGCCTCAGCACAGGAGACGACAGCAACCTCCTCCACGCTAAAAACGTTCAGGTGTTGATTGCTATTTTTTTCTGTGAATTAGCCAAGATATTCCTCACCTCCCTTGCCAGCCAATATTCTACTAAAACAATGTCCCAGCATCACAGCATCCTATTCTTCAAAGGTTGATGGTAAGCGGTTTAAAGAACTTCAAACACACCTGAGCTTTGTCCACCTGTAGGAGCTTGATAATAACACGCAGTCAGACCACAGAATAGTTGGCTATACAGGACTATACAAACTCGATGCAACATGATTTCTCTTATTATGTTGATAATGGGATGCGATCAGGCCATTCCACACGGTGCCAGAGAATAGTGTGACTTCACCTCATTGTCTTAATCTCAGCGCTGTGTAGAATGGTCTGTTCACCTCATTACAACGGCCTGTCTATGCAAGACTACATCAAACTGGCTGTGCACATAATAATGGGGTGCAATCATTATCATTTTATCCAACGCTGTCAGTCCTATAGAATGGTCTGGTAATGTGAGACAATATAGAATGGGGTGCACCAAATGTTAGGACTCATTTTCTTGGCCATTACGAAACAAATCCACAATTAGACACAATAATGGATTTTCTTCTGTTTTTTCCGGTAATAATTGCAGCTGAAAACAGGAGCATTATGCAATACAATGCAAATACTACAAACATCTATGTACCTGGACATCTTGCTGGTAGTATGTCTTTCAGGAAACCAAACAATAACCAATTTGTACAGTGATTTTTTCTGGTCCACTTCAATCCTGATGCCAAAAGGTTTTCCTGTAGTCAAACTGCTTAAAGTTTATTTAGGAGTTATGAGCCTCTGAATCAACGTTCACATTTTCCCTCCACAAGAACTGTTTTAGCTTCATTCATGAAAAACAAAAATGACATTTAATCTAGTGTTTAAACATGCTAGCATCTCAGCTACAGAGACTTAAACATCCTGACAGTGTTTGGATTATTTTGATTAATCCTCACATTGTTGGTTTTAGAATGTTAGTTAAGTAGTCTGTTTACATTTGTTTTAATGTTGGCGTCGTAAAATGCAAAATGTTGAGATGTTAGCAGGCATTATTAAATAAAATGCACATTAACATGCCAACGTTAGCAAACGGTATGCCATTTGAGTTCAGAATCATGAAACCTCATTCTTGTTTTTTGACTCCACACATGGTGAGAATTCAGATCAGCCGTATTTACCACTTTGTATTCCTTTGAGCAATTTGTGTTTCAAGTGTGTAATGAGCGCTAAATGCTAGCAGGGCTGCTGATGTAGCGGAAAACTAAGCGTGAGGCTACTAGAAAGTCACTCTGCAAAACTGATTTATGGAAATGACTATGTAGGTAGTGCTCATAGCTAGTGTGACTAGCAAGCTAACTACTTGTTTTATGGTTTTGTTCTTGTTACGGTTAATGCTGTTCTTATACAGCTATCTTAAGTTGTCCAGTGATGTGAGATGGGTGCCAGTACTGTACCATGACTTTTAACGGTTACTGAAAGGACACATATTCACATTATGATCAAGCTGACATCTAAGTTAAGCTGACTGCTAACTAGCTAGCCAAAATAGCTTGTTAGCTGGCATGTTAGCATGATTACCAGTTCACCACTTGGGTTTGCATTAACCAGACTTTTGTATGATAATCTTAAGTTATTCAGTTATATCACAGGGGTACCAGTTACCTACCTAGCTAGCTTAGATGCTAAATGTACCATTAGTTGTAACGGTAAATCACAGGATACATATTTGTGCCAATACCTAAATGCTAGCGTGCGATGTAAGTTAAGTTGCTTACTGTAGCAAAGTTTCATGTTGCAGTTGAGCAGATTTATGTTCTAAATGCTAGCATGCTGGCTAGTTAAAATCGCTCTTAGTCTGATTACATTGACATCTAATTAAACATCTAAGTTAAACTAACTGGGAACATGCTGAATTTCCTGACAAGTTAGTTGACTAGCTAACAAGGTTGTGGTCATGTTGGGGTTAACTGTGCTTTTATAAACCCATCTTAAGTTGTCCAGTGATGTGATATTGGTACTAGTTAGCCTGCTAGCTAGCTTAGATGTTAACTGGACCAAGAGTGCCACGGTTATTTTATGGACACACATTTGTAGCATCACTTAATGGTAGCATGCTGAACAGTTAGCTAATGAACTCAGTTGGTTACAGTAGCATGAGTCATTTTAAGTTATTTGTAGCAACCCTTCTTTCAGAACATGCGACATCTCTTTTGAGCAGAAGCTAAATGCTAACTTGCTAGCTTCCTCTATTTGGGGCTTCTACCAACTGAACAGACTTGATGCAGGTTTCTCTGTTTTTCTGAATTGGCAGTTTATTTTCCAATCACAGAACATAAATCACTGTATATACGCTGCCTTTCAGTCCTGTTTGGGATATATTTTTTGTAAAGATGTGAAAAATTGTACTATTTTTTAGTTCTTTATCTTTTTGTGTAACAAGAAGTTTGTATTGCCAAAAAATAATGTTGCCAGTGTTTGACAGCCCTTTCTCCTTATGCACCAGCACTTTGACCTGGATTTCACCAGGACTTTGTATAAGAGAGATTTTTTTTTCATGTTGTACAGTGTTGAATTTTCTCTGCTTTTGACATGTAAAAGTGTATTTTATCTTTTCTCAGCTGATTTAGCAGTTTCCAGTGTGATGTAGATACACTCAAATGATTTCTTTTTGTTTTTGGCTCGACTAAATAAAAATATAACTAAGTTTGTTTTTTCATCTCTTCTCATCTTTATTTAAAATTTAATTTAAATCTGATAAATGAACTAAAACAACACGATACCAATAGATGTTTAACTATTTCTATGTTTGTAGCCTTTCTCTCTGCTCATCAGCTGTAGGAAGATGTTTCAGCTGAATGTGTCTTCCTGTAGCTTGCGCCTCTGGAGACTGTTTTTTAAACAACGCTGCATTTATTTTAGCGATCCATATGTTCGCTTTTCCTCTCGGTCTCTCTTGTCGTCTTCTCTCTTCATTGTAGTGCTGCTGATGGGTAAGGTGCATGTGCAATAAGGCCCTGTTTAGCAAAAACTGTGATATGTCAGTGCGTCTGGGCCTCTGGTTTACACGTAAACGAAGCTCCAAGTCACTGAAAACGATCTGAAAACTCCAGCCAAGGTGGAGATTTGGAAAACTCTTGTCTTTACATTTGCATGTAGACAGGAGGAGATGGAGTTTGACGTCACAGTGAGCGACTAAAGCGTCATCAGCATCACGTGTGTGCGATCATGTTTACAGTTTGGCTGCGTCCATATTCTTGGACTGAATGTTTCCCAGTCAGTGTTTTCTAGTGTTTCCTTTTTGTGTGCTCAGTAACACCACATGTAGGAGCAGCTCCATGTCTCTGTCGGTCCAAACAAACGACCCCATTATCGTCAAAGTAACAGGAAGTTTTTGCTGTGTTTTTTCCAGGATTCTGATAGGCTAGCATGGCTTTCTCGTTACACTGCCCCCTATAGGTCTGGCAGCTCATAGCAGCTCTTAATGACGTGTTTATGCGGGTTTGTGTAAACAAAGATTTTTTTGAAAACGTTCTGATGTGAACAATGCTATTTTTGAAAACGTAGATCCGTTTTTGTGAATACCGGCTACGTGTAGACGTGGCCTCTGTCTCTTAGTTTTTGTTTTCATTAAGGTGTGCAAGAAATCGGTCCCAAAGAGAGAATTTTTGCACCATGTTGGTCCGTGTGAACCTGAGTTTTTTTTTTTCCATTTGTGTGACGTAGATAATTTCCATTGTCCATCTCTGAAAGAAAGGAGGAGAGGGTGATTTCCGTCCAGATGGGGGCGAAGAAGGCCTTCAGCTGCTCTTACCTGCTGTCCTTAAGTGAGATCTTAAGGCAGCTGCACCAACATGGCCACCAAGGCATTGAGAGGACCTCGGAATTGGTTCGAGAGCGCTGCTACTGGCCAGGTATGACCTCCGACATAAAACAGTGGGTCCAGGGGTGTGAGCGTTGCCAAGTCTCTACTAACCTTTGATTTGGGCTGACAGTTTATCTAAAGTAATTTCCACACACAACTGTGTTGAAATGACTTGAAACAGTTTGTTAGCCTGATTTATAAGTCAGTTGAAATAACCTGAAATGATTTGCTAGCCTTAATCAAAATTTTCAGTCGGCAAGGTTACAAATTATTTTAAGTTGAGTCAACTTGGGACTTTTTTTGCTTATTTGCAGGTTCGACATTTTATCCAGGCAAATTGTAGAATTAATCAAGGAACAATGGAGAAATTTATGATGGACCTCAATGTGAAGAAGTCTGTTATTAAGCAATCTTGTGCCAATTTGCACGACTCTAATGGACATAATATTGGGAAGTTGACTGAGCGATAGGAAGAAGATCTTCAACGTCACTGCGATGAAAACGACTGGAAAGATTGTAGTCAAACTACTCACTCATTATTTCTTAGCAATAAAGCAAAGAAACCCAAGAAAAAAATACTGCATCAACAGCACAGGACACTGGTTTCTCTGAACAAGATAGACTCACGTAGGTCGCCCTTATACCTTAAAGGTAAAATAACCGATGGGACATACCTACATGTTTATGGAGTTGTCCGAAAATATCAAAATACTGGCCTTGTATAACAAAGGAAATGAGTGCTATACTGAGGAGAAGAATCTGGAAAGACCCGGGTCAGCTTCTGGTAGGGCTGCCATGTTCTAATAATTTAATAGACAAGAATAAATCTAAATTACTCGGTAAGTTTCTATTTTTAGTATGAAAGTGTATTTTACTGAACTGGATTAAAGACAAACCACCAACAGCGACACAGTTTTTAAAGTATTACCAATGGAACGAATGAGTGCAAAGCTGAGTGGCAATGATGACACCTTTTTGGATCTATGGCGCCCTCTATTGGAATGACAATGACAATAAAGTTCTGATGAACTCCAGGTGAAACTGCTCTGAGTTGATTAAACTCAAATCCGCTGTTCTGGAACCGGAAACTCAACAGTTTCCTGTCTGAGAGTCGATCGACTCAGAGTTCAGGATTAGACTCAGAGTTTGTTGAACCTGCTTTTTGTGAAACGGACCCCAGAACACTTGCTTTCGTTTGAATTGCATTTATTTCAAGTGGTGCTAGAATGAAAATATATTTTAAAAAAAACAACAACAAAAAAACTTGTAACACTCCATTTATATCCCAAACACACACAAACTCTGTCAGATACAGTAATTCCCTTTGTTAAGTAGCCACTTGGTTAACAACTATGCAATCGATGCGTGGACCCGAGACTGCCACAGGTCGACTCTACTGCCGTCAGGAGGCCTGTGCAAGGCCTCGATATGCATAATATTCAGGCCTGTGGCAGCTTTTAATGTTCAATGTGCAGCCTTACTCTGGATAAATCATCTGGTCCTCTGCGTTAGAATAAGATACACATCATGACAGAACAAAATGCACTTTTAAATGTGATTCTGTGTGTTGAGAAACAATTAAAAGGTGTGAAAGCGTAATACAAATGTGCCTTATGTAATTGCATACTCTTCAAAATTCTTTTCAATGTTGCATCACGTCATGAAAGCTATATATAGACAGCAGGCCCTACCAAATTCAAAACAAAATGTAAAAAAAGCCAAGGAATGCACAGTGAGTTGTGATGGTGAGAAACAACGACAGCATCTCAGAGTGTGCGATCAGGTTCTCTGCACTCAGTGCTGATTCAGAGGAGGAAGACATCTCATCACCGGTGAAGGGACTTGGACAGGATCTCATGAGTTTTCACACCACAAAATGTAATTCAGGACGTTTAGGTTTAGAGGCAGGTGATTGTGGAGAGGTAGAAAAAGTACACAAGCACCTCATTCCTCCAAAGCACTTCTAATCCTTCGCTCATTTAACAAGAAAAGAAAATGGCTGTTTTCTCATTGAGGCCCCTGAAGTGGGTTTTGGTGAAAATTTGTCCCGTGGACCCTGAGAATATTTCTGTTAGATGTGCTACTGTCGAAACCTCTTGTCATGTTCCTCAAACCCTGCAACATCAACGTTTCCCACCTCGTGAGCGCTCCACTGATGGTCCACACGCTGGAACCTGGACTGCAGCCTCAGCAGCAGCAGAAGTGGGAGAAACATGCCGATTGTTGTATTTAACCCTGGTTGTTAAACTTTTCCCTGCATTTGTAACTCAGCTTCCCTCTTCTGGACTGCACTTTACAGAGGAGGTTCAGACGTTAAATACCGGGATACTGTAGTCAGGGCTGCACAATGAGGGCGTCGGTCAACTGGGTCAGCTTTTCTTTAACGGTACCGCGTTTCCCAGCAGCATGTGGCACTGCAGGGTTTTTCAGATGATGCTATTGTGTGCTTCCACCCTGATCATTAATCCAAATACTCCAGTGACATGGTGGAAACTGTGCGTGCTTCAAAATTAAACCATGACAAATTGTTTAATTCCTTTGAATACAGCAGCACAATCCTGATCGGGAATATTTGCCTCAGCGGCTGCAGGAAGATTACAGCACGCTGTTGGCATGCTAATTAAAACTGCCGCATATATATATAAAGTGAAACGCTGCAGCCTGGGATGCCAGCTTGATTATATGTAAATTAATTGTGCAGCCCTCACTACGAAAGAAGAGGAGGGGAAGCAGAAGAAGTCAGGAGAGCTGGATTGTAAAACAGTACAGTGCATTCCTTCTGATGACACAAAGTGACACCGAGCATATCCATTGTGCATCAAGTAGAAAAAGAAAACATCAAACCTAAAGCTTCGCAGTCATCATACAAGTCAAAATGTCTTAAGAAAACTGAGGTTCTGTGCAAAAAAAGGTGCATCTTCCCTCGTTACAGTACAGTCTGTCTGTCCTCCTGGATCCACAGGCTTGTGTTCAGAAACCTTCAGAGAAAAGGGCTTGTGATAAATGCTGCAGTTATTCAATATCAGCCGTTGTAGAAAACCCCACACTGACGCTTTACTTTACTCACGCTTTTGTTTTACTGAAGCTGATTTTGTTTCCCACATTTTTTTCCTCATTAACAAGTCAATGTGGTGTTTCTGTACGCTGGAAGACACACGATGAGTTAAAAAGGTGGTTGATACCAGGGCGAAGGAAGCTGCAGTGTACATATGACACACTCAGACTTCCAGGGTTTCATACTGAACAAATCTAAGAAGCCAATCGTGTCAGCCTGCAGACTCTCTGTGTCATTATTGTTTATTCAGAATGGGAACTGGCTGAATTACTCCAAGACAACACAGCTTCCCATTGTGAAGTGCAGAGTAGTTCTACAGGGTTTGAGCTGGTGAGCTCGAGCTGCATTACGTCGGGGGCTCACTCTAAATGAAGCTGTTTTGTCAGAGAAACCCAGAAAAATCTGTCTCGTCTGTGGTCATATGGTCATTTTTGCCAAGTGAGCCACAGGTCTATGAGTTAAGAGCAATCTGACCAGTTTTTGGACGGTTGTTTTTAATCTGTAGGTGCCTGCATAGGCCAAGATATTTCATATGTAGGTATTCTCAGAGCAGAAGTGTCAATTAAAGTTGAAATTAGCAATGAAATTCAAAACGAGTCAGTCTCAACAATAACACGTGGCTTCACACAGAACTCAAGCACTGCGCTATCAAGTAGAAGTCCTCTGTTGAACCCATTTTTATTCACTTTTCCATCGTTTAGATGTTGTCTGGATCATTTTTGAACTTTTCTGGTTCTTTTCTTTGGGAGGACTGGTTCTGCATTGGTAGGAATGCCCCTACACCTGACACTTTGACTTCCAGATGTATTCTTTTCATGGAAAACCTCACCTGTTGGCCAAATCTGAAATGACAGTGACAGCAGTTATTACGAATATTGAGAAACTGAAAGTGCAGACAGCCATGTATCCACTGAGTTGAGGTTTTTCCAGTAATTTTTCAGCTAATTCATCTCCAAGTATTTTTATAATTCTATAAATGTACCTGAGCGGCAGACACAGTCTCTACTGGAGCAAGTGAGGTTTCTACAATGGCTGAACATTGTTCACATCTTCTGAACTTCATTTAACAATATTTAAACCCGTGTTCGTTTTTCGATGGGCGTTCATTTACAAGTTTCAGGAAATCTGTCCCGTTAATAACCTTTTTATGACTACGATATTGTAAGCTGTGACAGCAGACCCAACTGTGGTTAGTTTTCAAAAGGTTAAGAGTAAATCTGAGAAACATAAATACAAAGTCAACTTTTCATTCTAGTTCTGACCCAGTGAGCAAAAAGGCAAAGGTGTTAGCACTCCCTAAACCATCTGATCTGGTCGCTCCCACATCAATAAATGCACAGATCAGGTCATAAAAACAAAACTCGGGATCCTCAGAGTCCATCCTAGCACTCGGCGTCTGCGATGTCGGCGCTGCCGTTGACTGGGTCGGTACAGACGGCAGCGTGCACATCCCTGCTGGGCTCTGCGTGGCCAACTCCGTTCGATTTGATTTGATTCTCCTCCCCGACGCTGTGAAGCAGAGTTTCAAAACACTGTTATTAATCAGTTATGTGCAGTTTACATGCACTGCAGTGATCTGGGGCCTCATGTACAAAGACTTGTGTGGATTTTTGACGGAAACCTGGCGTACGCTTCAATCCAGAAAACTGCGTACGCACATTTCCTTTGTACATCTCACTCAGCGTGGAATTGACCGCACATGTAGAGTACCAGACTCCTCCCTCTCCATGCCCCCAATTTAAATATGCAAATTAGTATTAACAGGGCCAACAGGTGGGATTCCCCTCTCTGCAGGATCAGATAACAGTAACCAGGATGAACTCATCCCGTTTGAGCGGAGAGTCTATTGTGGGTGACACTGCTGTCACAGGGGTGGTGGGACCACACGTGGGTCACTCGGATCACCCCCAAGGTCAATATTTATTGTGTAACTCATAGATTAATTCATTAAATATTCAGCTATGGCTCAGATGGTAGAGCGGCTGTGCTTTGATCATAAGGTTGGTGGTTCAATCCCCTCCACAGTTGAAGTGTTCTTGAACCGGAAGTTGCTCCCAATGGCAGGCTAGCGCCTTGCATGGCAGCTCTGTCGCCATTGGTGTGTGAATGGGTGAAAGAGAATGAGATGTCCACTGTTATGCAGACGACACCCCGCTATATTTATCTATGAAGCCAAATGAAACCAATCAGTTGGTCAGACTCTAGGCATGTCTGAAGGACATACAGGCCTGGATGACCTGGAATTTCCTTCATTTAAATTCAGACAAAACTGAGGTATTTGGCCCTAAACACCTCAGAAACACACTATCAAACCAGATAGCTGCTCTAGATGGCATTGCCTTGGCCTCCAGTTCTACTGTAAAGAACCTTGGAGTTATTTTTGACCAGGACATGTCCTTCAAAAGCCATATAAAACCAGTTTGTAGGACGGCCTTCTTTCATCGACATAATATTGTAAAAATCAGGAACATCCTGTTTTAGAGTGATGCTGAGAAAGTAGTCCATCATTTATAACTTCTAGACTGGACTATTCTAATTCCTTATTATCAGGATGTCCCAATAACTCTCTTAAAAACCTCCAGCTGATCCAAAATGCTGCAGCCAGGGTTCTGACAGGAACCAGTAACAGATCACATTTCTCCCATATTAGCTTCTCTTCAGTGGCTCCCTGTAAAATCCAGGATAGAATATAAAATCCTGCTTCTAACATATAAAACTCTCAACGACCAGCTCCATTGTAGCTTAAAAGCCTCATCGTGCTGTGTCGTCCTAACAGAGCCCTTCGCTCTCAGACTGCAGGTCTACTGGTGGTTCCCAGAGTTTCCAGAAGTAGAATGGGAGGCACCGTTGCCAACTGCTTACTCACAGGAAGTCCAGAGGCAACTTTGGATCGTTGGTTTCTCTGTTTAGATTTGTAAGGTCTGTACCTTACTTTGATAAGCGCTGTGTGATAACGTATTATAAACTGCGCTGCACAAATAAAATTTAACTGAATTTTCTGACAATTCAATTCATAACTGACAGCTGGATCAATCAGCCCTAAACCAGCTCCGTGTTGTGTGCAGTGATGCTCCACCTGTCAATGCAGCCGTTGCTGACCGGAGACTCTGCCGTTTCTTTCTCCGACTGAGAGCTGCAGGACCTCCTCTCTCTGTACGTGTCGGAGCTCCTCCTTCTGGCCACGATGGGTCCAGGCCCCGACCCCCGTCTCTCCGGACTGACCCTGGGCCCCGGCATGTCAGAGGGGGCGCTCAGTCCGTCTGGATCCTTGCCTGAGTCGCTGCTGGTGCGCCTTCCGTTCAGACTGTCGGAGGACGAGACGTGGCTCATCTGGCCCTCGCGCTCATCTGGAGATCAGTGGGAAAAGTCTGATGAGTGCCGCCTGCATTTGGACATTACTTTTTGACCTTTTCAGCAAAAAAAAATTCTAATTAAAAACATACACAAATGAAAATTGTTCATTAAAATCTTGTTTCATTTTGATTCAAGTAACTTTTGTGAGCTAAATGTACTTTAAATACTAAATTTCATTTACACATTGTAGGTCTATCAGACTTGAACATGATCTAGTAACTCTACCAGTCCAGTAAATACAGTGTAAAAGTATAAAGCATGAAGTTTAAGTGAATCAAAACTGTATTCTTTCACTGCAGATTTCACCATTTGTACTGCTGTTGGTAGCTTTATGCATTCATCCAACATCTGCTGACACTCGGACTCCTCTTTGTGTCTCATTTAGAAGTTAAGAAAATTGAGAGAAAAATGCATCCAGTTCTAATTTTCTGCATTGACGTGACTTGTTGTGCTCGACGAGGTCGATCAATCGTGGAAAAGCCGATAAATCCACATCTGCAGCAGTGGGCCTTTGTGTTCTGTCGCTGCAGTGCGCCCTCTACTGGACGCAAACAGACATAGTCGCTCAGGTTCTGCCTCCAGGCCTGAAATCACTTTGAGCAGCCTGACAGTGCAGAATCAGAATGAGCAGCACGACAGCAGGCACTCACTGCACTGGATGTCTGAACACAGGTTGTATTATTGTTTTCATTCTTTGTCCATGTTTTATTGCTACAGAAGCTCATTTTTTATTTCATTTCTGACTTTGAGGAAACTCCAGTTCAGTAGGATTTGTCCCCTGAGACAGACTTGATTTAAGAGTCAAGCAGAAGGTGGGACTAAAAACCTGAGTCCCTTTGCTTGTCTTCTTTAGGTCTGACTCACTATCTGGAATTCATGTGACACTTGACGACTTTATCTGAGTCCACACATGCAGGTAAGAAACTAACAACTATATATATTTTTTTACTTTTGATCTGTAACAAGTCAGAAGCCTACTTTGTCACAGAGGGATGAGTGGATCGAAAGCTTCAATCAAACTCCTGCACACTGTCTAATTTGAAAAAATACATTTGTTTGCTACTTTTCGCAGCTCATCGTTTCTGCAAGTTAGACAGTATGCAAAGGTCTGTTAAAAACATTGGAGTTAATATTACATAAAACAAAGGCACCTTTCACACATCTGTTTCATGGCACAGATGTGCAGGAGAGGGACGAGCAGATCAAGAGTTTAAAACAGATTCCTTTCATTGCTTCATCATTCTGTAAGTTAGACAGTGTTCTTTGGAATTTTAATGACATGTTTTTTGTGTTTTTTTTTGCCTTCAATTGCTTTATTGTTGTTGGGTTATACAAAATGAACAAATGTGTCAGTGGTGGAATGTGATTAACGACATTAATGACTGTATTTGAATATGAGGTAGTTGTGTTAGCACATCACACTGTTTCTACATCTACTTTCCTAAATGGATTGAGCTGATTTACTCCAAATATACACGTTTGTAGTTGCTCCACAAATAATACAAAACATGTAAAGAGCTTTTAAAAGATGAGGCTTACCTGGAATTATATTTGGCTAGAATTAGAATAATTACTTGAATTCATCATTGACAAATAAATGAAACTATTTTTAAAAGTGTCTAAAAAAAATATCTGATTTTATTTAAATTCTACTTAAATTCAATATTGAATATCAAAGTAATAATTAGCTGAGGTTTGTAATATATATATATATATATATGTTTTACAATTTTATGTAATTTTAAAGATGATTGATTGCAAGACATTATCAGATTAATTAATGACCAAATTAGTTGTTGAAAATGTAGCAGCGCCTTGTTGACCTCCTTCAGGTGTGCTTACCTCCAGAGCTGGCCTCTCCTGCCTTGTTGCGTCGGCGTCTCAGGATGACCTCCAGCTCGCTGTCCTTCTTGCCCGGCGGCGACGGCCCTGACTCCTGGGAGCCTCGACTGGGACTCCTCTTCACTGTCTCCTGATGCAGAACACAAACATCACTGCAGGAGTTTCTTCACCACAAGACTTGACTGTTTCAGGAAAACTCTTAACACACTGACATGTTGCTTATGTTCGTCGAACGGTGTTTTAGTCTCATTTTAAAGCTGCTTGCCTTATCTATTGAACACACAACAGGGTTGTGGGTTCCTTTGTGGCTCATAATGTAAATTTACTCTATTAATACAAAGTGATGGTTAGATTGTCAATTAATTAGATTTTTTTCTGAACAAAGTTCTGCAGGTGTCTACATTACTACGTTATTCCAAGCTGCTGTCACATGACAACATAGACCCTTTAAATAGCATCAGATAAATACAAGGGCTCATGAAAAAGTTGTGGGACAGTTTGTGGTGCACAGAGTTTGTCATGCCTGTGCAAGTCATGAGACAGGAGACCACATAACTACCGTTGTGATCTCTGGTATGTGCATATGTGATTTATTCACAGAACTAAACACGGAGCAAACAGCACGTATTGTGTCAGTCAGTAGTCAGGATGATGCAGCGTTACATGTGGGGGTTCGTCGCTGGTGATCATAAGTGAGTCTGCAGCTGGAAAAGCTGCAGTCTCCAAAACACAAGGAAAAACTGTAGAAATTTCCCCCAAATTAGATTCAAGTTGAAGAGTTGCCTTTTTGCCACAGCTGAGAAGACTGCAGTGCGTCACAGCACTGATGGTGGCAGTCAAATGGAAATCAGGTACAGTTTTGAAGTTTTATAGGCACAGTCTCTGAACTTTCTGATCTCACCTCGTACTTGAGGTGTTTAGTGCCATCTTTTTTCAAGATGGCGGCGCGCTTAGACAAATGCCAAAGCGGCTACAAGAGGAGGAGAGAGTCCCATCTCACCAGCAACAGACCACGGGAGGTGTGGCAGGGTCTATCACAAACTTCAGGAGCTGGGATGTGACACCAGGAGACCAGGAGGAACTCAACAGCTTCTTTGCTCACTTTGAATCACTGTGAACCCCAGGATGGCTGCTGGTCCAGATACAGTACTGGGCAAGGTGCTCAGAGCATGTGCACACCAGCTGTCCCACGTGTTCTGCAGGATCTTCAACCTGTCCCTGGCCCAAGCAGTCATCCCCACCTGCCTAAAATCTGCAACAATAATCCTGATCCCAAAAAAGTCACCCACAAGCAGCCTTAATGATGACCACCCTGCTGCCCTCACACCTGTTATTTTGAAGTGCTTTGAGAGACTGGTTCTCCAGCACATCAAGGACTGTCTCCCCCCC